AGAACTAGCTGTTTGCAATTATGCAAGCTAGGGGTTGTGTTCAAGGAGGAGGTGAAGGGGACACAGGGATGCTTCTCAACACTGTGACTCATCAGAGAGGATGAAGAAGTCTTTGCTGGATTAGAGAAGATCCAATAAGATATCGTGAGCCTGATAAGGTTGAAGGAATCAAAACTGGGACAAGAGTGTGAGAGAAAAGACGCAGGAAAAAGCTACATCTTTAGAACTAAGAGTGAGTATGAGGTTCTCCAGACATAGAGGACACGCCTGCACTTTCAGGTCGAGCTGAAGTTGCAGCTCCTCTGGGAAACCTTTCCTAACTTCTTCCACTCCCAGATGCTGACTTGGACAGCCAGTGACACACATGGGCTGTGTGTGCTGGTATAGTGTCTTCTCTTACCTCTATTACAGCCCTTACTGTATGATATCACAATCATCAGATTTTTTGTCTCTCTCCCCATAAGCACGCACAATTCGTAAGGGCAGGTTTGAGCCCTAGTCACTGTCATAATCCCAGCACCAAGCTCCAGGCCTGGTCCATAGAGAACACCTCAGAAATCCTTGTTGAATAAATAAAGCAGCAGTGTTCCATGCTACACAACATAGTGACGACACCACTGAAGAGCACCAAAACCAAGGATACAAAGGGAAGTAAAAAATAAAGTGAAGAAGAATAAGAAGAAAGAGGAGGAGGCTGGAAGGGGAAGAGGATGATGAGAAGGGAAGAAAGAGGAGGAAGGACTGCTTCAAAGAATAGAAGCAGGAGTCAACCTTGCCTCACGAACATCATGACAGACGTGGGGCCCATCCCTCAGTTGAGGCAGAAACACAGAAGAGTAGGGAGGACCCCAAGAACTTCCAGTCCCTGTCGGCGGAACCCTACAGTGGCAACAGCGGCAGCTTCATGAAGACCCAGTGTGGCCACCTGGGATTTCTCCATGGGATGTGTTCATGTAAGCCTCTGTTCTCCCCTGCCGAGTCAGGGCGAGCAGATAACACCCTCAGAAGAATGTGAGGAACAATGAGATTTGAAGGGAAGAAACTAAAAGAGCTAGAGATTGAAAGAGGACCCAATATGGCACCTGGTGATCTAGGTTTGAATCCTAGCTCCCCGATTTACTTGCCAAGTGGGCTTTAGCAAATTATTGCATTTCCTGTAGCCTCGGTTTCCCTACCTGTAAAGTAGCCATAATAGCACCTTTCTCTTGGGGTTGCAGTAAACATTCAGTGAGATCATACCAGTTAAGATAAAGCAGCCAGCCCAGTAGGCTCCCTGTACGTAGCAGACTCAACAAATATTTGTTTCCTTTCACCCTCTTGGTTGCAGAGAAGGTTTCTTTTTCTTTTTCTTTTTCTTTTTTTTTCTTCAGACGGTTGGGATTCAAGAAAAACAAACTAGGAGGGGAACAGCTGCTCTACAGGTGGCATGAGACTTGGAGGGACCTATCACTGGAACCTGTCTTCCGTGCTCTCCTGTTTTCTGCTTCTTCTCCAATGACATGTGCAGTCAGAGAGAACCTGCCTATCAAAACGTACACGAGACAAAAGTCAAGTTAAGTAGAATCCAAAAAGATCGTCGTCCACCAGAGGAAAAGGTGAGATTTAAGGGGTATAATATAAAAGAGTAAGTGTAAGCTCCCACACTTGGCTCCAACAACTCAAGTGTATAAAGATAAACATCATACCCAGGTCGAAGAGTCTTACCCCACTCAACTCGAATCTGCATGTCAGGATAAGATGCTTCTAAGGTTCCTTTCTAGTCCTCCATTTATATACAAAAAAACTTAGCATTCTTATTTTCTGAATTTAAGTTGAAAATTGTACTTTTGATATGGATTACACTAATGTGTATGTAACATGAACCCTTAGCCAAGCTTCACTCTATGAAATTTGGCACCTTAGCTTGAACATAAATTTATGGGAAAAGTGAAATGAAATCTGTGCCTGAATGACTCAAGTAGATGAAATGGTCTCTTTCATTTTCCCCAAACGGCCCAAATGTCTTCAGGCTGTTCTACATAACACAGCCAGGATGACTTAGAGGAGAGAGCAGCATGTCCCGTCCTCAGACGTGAGTCTCTTATTTCTGAGAAATGCTTTCTTCTAAGTAAGAAAGACACCGAGACGCAAGACTTGAAATCCTGCAAAAAAATTCTGAGAGTAAACATAATGATGAGTAAGCAAATGTCAAATGTTACTGCTATTATAGAGCTGAGAAACAAACCATAAAAGGAAAGGTCTCTGCCTAATGTGAAAAATGAAGAATATTGTTAGTTTCTTCAGGGTGATTTTGGAGATATATGAATGCAACAATCCCATCCCGCCTCCCCCGGAACTAGAGAATAAGGAGAATTAAGTTGCCCTTTGAAAATGAACTTCACTTTTAAGATAAACAGGAAAAAAATATTCTAAGTCCATAAAAATAAGAAGTTCAGTGGGAATGGCTATCTAGATGAAGGAGGGATAACAGTTCAAGCAGGGCAAGAATGTAGCAACTCTGATGGGGTGGAATATTTAGAGAAGTGTGGTCTGGAGAAGCACAAATGAGACAAGGAGGATCATTAGGGTCAATGTGGCTAAGGTGGCCCAGAATTAGGCAAGCAAGCACCCAGCACCTAGGTCATCTCCCTAAATACTGAAATACTAGAAACTGCATTCTTGGCAAGGGATGTCCCTCCTTGTTAGATAAACAGTGGGCTACTTAATCTATGGGGGTTGTCAGTAAAGCTAATAATTTGGGTTTACAGTGTTAAGCTCAGAGCCTGGGCTGAATATTGGATGCTCTGCGATGGTGATTCACTTTGATTTGCCAAATATTGAGCCCATCTTTCCAGTATCATACCAGGTTCTGAGAAGAGTGATGAACAAGACAGAAATCCTGTTCTCATGGAGCTTGGGATCCAATTTTATCCTGGAGGATTTCTTCGTAGACAGTCATTTGCCTCCCCAAGCAACCTTAATATACCAAGCATCTTCTTTCAGAGCCTAACAGATGTTAAATCTGGTTAAAATTTCCCAGGACACTGATGACCCATCAGAGTCCAGTCATGAAAAGCCAGATTGTACACTCCTGCCTCACAGAGAGCTCTTTTCCCTCTTTTCCAGGGAAGGTGATGAATGTGTGGTATTTTGTAGCCCTAAGCTATGACATGAGAGAAAAGATGACTTCGTTCAAGAAGAGACTGGAGAAAATAAGTACGTTAGACATGGTCCTAGGGGATGAGTCTACAGGAAGCTCCTGCAGGGGGTAGGGTGGAGGATGAGGGAGAAACAGCAGCTTCTGTTGGTGGTTGACTGCAAGGAACACAGGGTGCCCTCTCTTCAGACATCTCTTAATGCACAGACATCAAATACTGGACTGGATTCCCCAGGGCTTATAAACAGGGGCTCATTCTCCCTGAGGTTCTGGTACAGCCCCACCAGGCACGCATGGGCTTACAGCCCAGCTAACTGCGGTACTGCAGCTTTGGTTGAGGATTTCTTCATCTGCAAATACCTTGTACCTAACTGCAGTAGCTGTATTAATCACCCAAGAATAAGAATAACAATACATCTGCTTCTCTGTTAGACAGGATGATCACTGTGAGAATGAGTCTGCAGGGGGGTGAGAGAAAGAGGGAGGTAGATTACCATGGCCAGAGATTCAAGCAAAACTCTCTCAACTCAAAGGCTTTCTCCTACGCAACCCTCAAATTAAGCACAGGAGTCCAAATGTGTTAACAGCAATCGACCTTTGGAAAGAGTCTTAGCAGGCTGATGTCACTGGAGAAAGGATGCTTTATCACTGCATGTGTGAAAAGAACCTGTACTGACTCCTGATTGGGCTGAATTAGAGCCTCAAGACACTCAGCTAGGGAAACTAATAAAAGGCAGGAGGCCAATTTGAACCCAAGTCCAGTGGAGCCCAAAGCTCATGACACTGTACTGTAGCACCCCGGCCTCTGTGGTGTGGAAGAATCCACCACGGGCGCAATCATCAGTGGGAAGGAGAGGAAGTATACCCTAACCAAGGGGACTGCAAGGGCCCCCTCACAGGCACAGAAATCCAAGGGCAGGGCATGCCCAGGAACAACCTGCCCAGTTAAACCTTCCTCAACCCCACCTTCCAAACCTGGACCCACACCTGGAGTCACGATTAGTCAGCAGATAAGACCCCAGTGCCTTCCACTTGAAGGCTTTCCAGTGTGGGAGCAAGGACCAAGGCAGGTCATTGTGAATACCTATGGCAGAAGGTGACTTGGAGCAAATTAAGAAGCTAATACTGTCTACAGATATTCTGGTCTGCTTATTTATTCAACTAACACATAAGTAGGCAATGTACAATGTATGTCATTCATTCAACGACTACTCAGTGAATGTCTGCCACCTGCCAGGCACTGTGTTATGTGCAGGAGACACAGTGGTGAACAGGACGGAGAGTCGCTGCACTATTCAATAAATGTTGCAAGTATGTATGAATTAATGAGCACAGCTAAAGATGTGCAGAGCTTCAAGGGTGCTGGCTATGCTTCAAGAGATGTGCCCTTTGGCCAAAAATAATACATGTTTCTGGGAAAAACATTTGATTATCTCACTATTTCTCATCTAAGCGTCCATTTACCTTGGGCAAATTTGGCTTTGAGTTCTGCTCCAAAAGAAGCTATTCCATTGTACCTCTATTGAACGGGGCAGGTTTCATCAAGCATCAGCTACCACCTGCTTCTTCTCACCCCTGGTAAACTGACACCTGGAAACTTATCTAACCAGCTTTGATTTAAAGTGGGAACAGTAAACAAACGGATGAAACATCTACACTGCAAAAAAATAAAAAAATAAATAAAAGCCTCTTTTTACTTTCAAGAAAAGATACGGTATGACCTCTGTATCAGTCAGGGGTTCTCCAGAGAAACAGAACCAATAGGATATAGGTTTCCTCCGCTATCCGAAAGTACAGCATTCCTGTGAAACATTTTGTAAGTCAAAATGACATAAAGAGATGAAGCAATTACCTGAGGACATACCTTGCTGGCAGATGCACAGAATAAATTGAGATAAAGCACAGATGCTCACAGACACAGTTCAAAGCTGTGGTGACTGGATGCTGAGATGCTGAGTGTAGTTTCTGAGGAAGGAGCTTGGCAGTGCCCCTCTGCTGCCCGAGATGCTCACTGCTTCTCCGTTCCCTGCAAAACAAATGCTGAGCATTTTCACTTTTTGCTTTTTCTAAAAAGCAAAAATCTTATTCAGATTTTTTTAGGGAAAACAAGTACTAATGTAGGTCTTTTGTAAAAGCAAAGTGGCATAAAGTAAACTTTCGAAAAGCAGGAGATACCCATATGTGTGTACTTACAGAGAGAACTTTATTTTAAGGAGTGGCTCATGTGACTGTGGACATGGCCAAGTTTTAAATCTGCAGAACAAGCTGGCTGGCTTGAAACTCAGGCAGGATTTCACCCTATGTTACAGTTGTGAGGCAGAATTCCTTCTCCAAGAAATCTGCTCTTTAGGCCTTCAACTGATTGGGGGAGGCCCACCATATCATGGACGGAAATGGCCTTTACTCAGAATCAACTGATCATGATAATCTCATCTACAAAGCACCTTGACAGCAACAGCTAGATAAGTTATGTTTGACCAAATAACTGACCAAGTTAACATAAAATTAACTCTTACAACCCGTTAAGCAGCCAAAGCTTTTGGTTAAGTTACTGTTTTATATTTCTCAGCAATAGTTCCAAACAAAGTCTCCAAAACTTACTGAGAAAAAAAAATGAAACAAGTGAAATTAGAAAGACAGAACAAAAGTTACGTTTTTACTGTTTGTAGAGACTCAGCTCAAAAAGCTCCTGACATTCAAGGGATTGACTGCATGATATTCACCAAAATAAACAACACTCAAAATAGCCAGCCTACTTACTGCTGTCATTATAATAACCAGGATACCAGCAGAGATGCTGGCTCTCTCAGCAAAATCAGACCGAAAGAGGCTATAAAAGGATATACAGACTATAGGAATTAAGGAGAATAAAGGAGGCTAAGAGGAAGAGGAGATGAAGAAAGAGGAGAAGGAGGAAGAGGGACTGAGGGGAGAGAAGTGGAGGAGGAATAAAGGAGGCAGAAGAGGAGAAAAAAGAGGGAGGAGCAGAGCAGGAGAGAAGAAAATCCTAGGGAGAGAAAAGACTGTTTTGAATTAGGATGTGGGTGTGTCCGTGTGCGTGTGTGTGTGTGTGTGTGTGTGTGTGTGTGTGTTGGCCAGAGCGCTGAGTGATGGCTACAGCGTCCAGCGGAGGGTGGCTGGCAGTGTGAGATCGGTTGGAGAAAAGCAGAGTAAGTTCTGCTCTTGTCTTGCCCCCTCCATCCTCCTAGGACAGTCACTGCCTGCTGCCTCTCTGCAGAAATCTGCAAGAATGGCCACGGCGTGGATGTAGGCATCTTTGGAAAGAAAGTCGCGGCAGAGCACAAGCCCAGCTGGGGTAAGAAGATAAAGGAAACGGATGAGACTAAATGGCTTCAGGAATCCACCCTACCCCCTAGAAGTACCCAGTTCCTGTGTTTTTCAAAACCCCCTCTCCCCACCCATTCTCTCTCAGGGTTCAAAGACAAATGATGATGATTGATGGGTTGCTGAAGGGTTGCTGGTGGTTGATTCCAAAGGAGATTGATTAGCTGTGATTTTTTAAATCCCAGGGCTCATATCCTTCTCTCTCCTTAAACTTCACAAACCAGAGTAGCATTTCTCAACCTTGCAGTCCACTTGATTAGAGTACACCTCCTCTCACCACTGATGATTGAGGCCATCATAGAGTCTTTCACGCCACAGAGGCAGGGGTGGTGCAGTATGATGTCACTAATGTCGCGAGCTTTGGGCTCCCTTGGACTTGGGTTAAAATTGAAGTCTAGCCTTTTATTAGCTTGAACCCTGGTTTCCTGATCTGAAGACTGACACAAGTTTGGCACTCATTAAGTGTTTGTGAATAAGCTGTTGAATAGACATCTGCTGTTTCATATAATACAGTTTGGGATATCATATCCAGTTTCAGTCTCTTCTTGCATAATGAGAAAATGTTTGCCCAAGAAATCCACAGGCTTGCCAAGTCATGGCCTTCACTGTAAGCGCAAGGAAAAGCAAGATAGACGTAGATCCCAGAATGAGGACAAAATCAAGTGTTGTTACGTGGCTTCTATATGCTTTATGGTGTTCAAGTTTTTATCATCACTCTATACTTATAACAACTCTGCATAAGGGTCCTTATCAGATGCATTCCTCACCACAGACTAGGGCCCAGTTGCTTTATTTGTCTGTCTCTGGTCTAATAATTTCAATATTTGAAGCCAATGAGTCTTTGTTGGGGGACACACAGTGGGGCCAGTGATGCAGGTTGGTAAAAGAATTTAGCAAAGGCAAGGAAAAGTTTAAGAACAAAGGAAAGTTTATAAGTAAGCTGCTACAGGCAACAGCAGGCCACACAGACAAAGAGGTGCCTGTGTGAGCCCTGAGTGTGAACGTGCAGGGTCTTTTATTGAGGAAGGGGCTGCGCACACAAAGGGATGGAGGAACAGTCTTCTCATTGGCCATAAGTGAGGTAAGGGGCTTTGGGATACAGGAGGACAGTGGATTTATGACTCCAATAAGATGGAGACCTGGGCTGATACAAGCAAGGTAGTGGAATTTATGACTCTGATAAGGAGGAGACAAGGGCTGAGACAAGCCAGCCTGAGCTGTGGTGAGGCCAGTCATTTCCCAGGGCTGCTAATTCTCCTAAGGCAAACAGCCGTCAGGAGTTTATCTTCAGAAGAGGAGCAGGCAGATGCCTCAGGGCTGGAAGTTTGGGGCCGCCCCGGGCCTCAGCAGGCACTGAATGGCACTGCATTCCCCTCTGACAGATTGTCAATGTCAAGTCTTTGATGTATGGGCAGAGGTCTCATCTTATTTTAGTGCTTTTCTAGATAAGAGGAGATGCGAGAATTGGGGCTTATAAAATCTTTTCCTGAAAATATCTATCTGAAGGTCTGTTTTGTCAGTTTTCCCAGAGCACAGAGTGTCTCGTTTCTCATCTCCACCTTTTAGGGTGCTCCTTTTAGGGTGTGTTGGAGGTTAGTGACTGCAGTGGCAGATGGCAAGTGCAAAAATTGGCAGGGCTCCCCATGAGCATAAATTTGACCATGGCTTGGGAGGCATTTTATGACCATTTTGTCCCATGGTACTAAAAATGCTCATTCTTAGGTCAGGCGAGGATTCTGTCAACAGGCCACTCAATGTGCTATTACGGAACTAGGCCTCAGTAACAGCGGTAAAAAGTCTCTGGACCACCTGTCTCACTAGTCTGTCATGGCCCAGGAAAACTCCCTCTTGTTGCTTCTTCCCATGTCTATAGCTGCACAGTTATAATCCTCAGTCTCCTGTAGAACTATGTATCTGGATATCTGCTCTAAGTTATCCAGTCATCATCTTACCAGAGTCTCAGTCACACCTTTAGTAATATAAGACTTTAGTTCTACATACTTGTGAGATGCATTTTGTTTCTAAGCAAAGGTATGAGCAATTATCAAAGTCACTGGTCCACAGGCCTAGGCCTGTGTCTTGGGTCAGCTGTCTACCTCAGACATTGGCTTCTCTCATCTTGGTCTGGTAGCTCCTTTTTCACTTGAGCATGGTTTTAAGGTGCAGCAGTCATCTCTATAGGCCAGTCCAGGGCAGGGGCCCCTTTTGGGTGGAAATTAATCCAAGAATTAATTTCCTTGAGTTTTACTGTTTATGAGTTAGTTAAGAGTATCTGATATGGGATCCGTTCATTGAGGTTGAAGATAGTCCTTAAATTACGTTGTTTCTCCTGGTTAAGTTCAGGGGGCATCTGCAGAAACAAACCTAGAGTGTCCTTTTAATGCTTCAATTAAACTTTAAAACAATATAGCATAACAGTGAGGAATGGTCTGGGAAGTGAGTTTTAGTAAATACAGACCTCAATTAACAATAATAGAATTGAATATCCACTGAAACATAATCTTTTCCTGTCTATAATTACCCTCATTTTTATCGAATATAATCAAACTATAATTGATCATATAGGCTCTTTTAGATTGGCTGTTGGAATTTTTTTTTTTTGAAAGAGTCTCAGACTGAACTCCCAAAAGGCATCTCAAGGCCAGGAAAGCCACATATTATAGATTTAGGTGAATTATAAAGCTGCTGGGAACCTAAGTTTCCAATCTTTGGAGGGCTCAGATAGAAAAAGATAAATGTTTCAATTTTGCTTACAAAGGTATAATTCATCCAATTGTTACAAATCATAATTAGCTTAAGGGACAATGTTTCTTTTTATCTGGAAAAAACATATTAAAAGCCAGTAATATTTTAGACAAAACCAAAAATTGCAACCGTATTTGTCAGTTTACTCAGTCCTATGGTTCTAATCCTTTTTGTTAACAGTTTTATGCCTAAAGAGAAAGCATTTTTAAAGGCATCACAGTAAAACCATAACTATTTATGAATGACAAATAGCAGACACAGTTAAAACTCTGTTTACGAAGTAACTGACAAGAAACTTTGTTACTGCTATGAAACAACATTTTAAGATAATAACTAGAATTACAATTGATAACAAGAGGTAGAGACATCTCATATGTGTACACAGACATTACATCCAGATAGACACAGAGATCTCATAGTTTTTCTCCTTGAGTTTTTCAAAAGCCTTTAACCTTTGGTTTGAAGTTCTGCTAATTACCCGCAAGCTGCAGTCTTAGGCACAGCAGGCTGTGTTTATATATCAAGGACATGATAAGGGTTAACTGCAGGCTTTCTCCTAGCAATGTTTTTTTTCTCTCAGGGTCAGGATTTTGAAAAGGTATCAAGCTAGTTTTTTCTAACCACATATGCAAAAAGACCAGTTTTTGAATTTTTAAAGGAGTCTCCCTAAACCAAGTTTTCTGGAGTCTAAAGAATATTGTAGCCAGACAGTGTTATAATACCATTTTTTTTCAGTCATAGGCTCATAACTAAAATCTCCCCCGCCAGACAGAATTTACTGAAGAGGGCTCCATGGTGGAACAGAACCAGAATTTTCATTTTGCAAAAGAGAATGATGATCACAAATCACAAGACAGAACACAAAATACAAAATACACGCATGTATGTCCGTCACAGACTGACCAATATGACGAGGAGTCCTAAGCAGACAGTTTT